TTTTTTTTTTTTTTTTTTTTTTTTTTTTGGAAGCTGAGAATTAAGGTGCTGTTTTGCCAAATTTGGAAAACCTAACAAGTTTATTGACCTCTGACACTCGAAATTTTGTGTAGTGAAACTGATATACAGATTTTGGTATAATTTCATTCTAGCTGTTCATGCGCAAAAGAAATTATAAAATTTCTCAAAAGAAGAATTATAAGCGTAACTAAAATAGGTACCGTCTGGCACATACTGTTACTATATAGTAAGCTAAGGCGACTAAGAATCATTCCTTGCTATATCTGTTTGACTCTTCATTGAAAAGTGAACTTGAACACTTCTCCACCCGAGAGAAATCTGAGGTACTACTTACTAGCCAGTAAAATATGCCTTGTGTGGCTGCGAAATTGCAATTTTTTGCTTTATTTAGCATGTGACACTTTCAAAATTATTTCATAAATTAGGATGGTCTCAGATGACAGCGACAAGATTTTACATTTAAGAAATAACTGTACCAGTGAGAGGTCGCAAGTCACATGCACACTAGCTAGTAAAGAAGATACAGAGTAACAATATTATTGCTTTATGTATTAGGAAGAAACAGTGTCCAGCAATTTATTATATATCAGTGACAGCTAAAAGTTAACGGATGAGATACGGCATGCATCCGGCATAGAACAATTTGCCAATACAGAAAAAAAATTGGTATGAAGAATTCAACCCACTAAGCCCTGGTCAAATGCAAATTTTTATCAGGCAAATGGAACTTTGCCAAAAACCTAAATCTTTTGAAAAAAAAAAAAAACAACGGCTGTATGAGGAAGTCGTCTAAAGCGCTTGCTCAATGAAAAGCCTTTTCAAGCACATTCCAGTACAGACAGCGTGGATCAAACCCAACCAAACAACGCATAAGAGCACCCTGTTGCGTAGAATTCAACGTCTCATGCTTATTCTAAAAAAATGTTAATGGTTTATAAAAATAAAACTGTTTAAATATCATCTTGGCTCTAAAATTTTCTCAATTTTATCAGACCATTATATAGCAGATTCTGCAGCACAAAAATCCTGATGCTGCGAAGCCAAAAATTCCCTTGAAACCAATAGTGTTAAAAAGATGCAAAAAGGCAAATCCTCGCTACAAGTTCAACAGATAAATGCTTTAGTTTTAAGAAATGACAGCGGTTTCTCAACAACAGTTATAATTTGGTCTCAAGATAATGAATACATTTGTTCTTAAGAAACATCAAATAATAACCATTACCAACTATCGTTGCCAAGAAAAACAATGCAACTAAGAAATTGAAGATATCAACCAATAATCAACCATGCAAGTCTTGGACTGGAAAACTAACAGTACAACAAATAACGATCAAAGACTTTGTAAGGTTTTTGAAAATGAAGAAGTATATCTGCTCAATGCATGAACGTCAAATTATTTTGCAAAGCCTGCAAGAAATTAAAAATCAATTCTCTAGAAAAAGCCAGAACAGTGCTTCAAAAATAACTCTGCAGTTTCAAATATGCAGAAGGAATAACAGAAGTTCTTAAAAATTTCTAAATAATAACTGTGACATGAGTTTACTAGCTTTATACCTACCTACATGTCCATTATTACAAACGCCAGTCAGTAAAAAAAAAAACACTAATTGGCTTACAAATGACCAACATCAATGGGTTTTTAAAGACAACTTAAAATGCGAACCCACAACGTTGGGAGTCAACAAACCGCCTAATCGTGAGCAGCATGACTAACCAAATCAATCTCATCATCTAAGGAAAGTCACATCCCCTTTGCAAACTCCAATTTTACCCACACACCTTTCACAGTCAGTCTTTAACCGAACCGATA